TTTCAAGAATAAGTCAGACCTTTTGAGAAGTGTACAACCTGCATTTCCTTGCAAACCAATGAAAGCATCCAGGGAAGGAGACCAAGAAGCAGTATTCTAGTCAGCATGAGAATCAACTCCGCAGATCCTGTGATTGGAGACGACTGACTTGCTTTCCTAGTTTTCTTTTCCATAATCCCTGTGGTTGTTTTCTTCCTATGTATGTAAGGGAGTTTATACAAACTTAAAGTTTTAACTAGTAGAGTTTTATATGCCACGTCCATGATTGTTTACCTATAGCTAGAGTCTATTTATTCATAATAAATGGCTATTCTTGATAAGTACTGAAACCTGATCAAGCTTTCTATCGACCTCGGTCAAAAAGACAAGTACTTTAGAGAATTTTGCGTACTTGTATAAAAGATTTAACTTTGTGATGACTGTGAGAATAGTGGGGTTTGGTTTCTAGCGTGCTGCTCCAACTAAGGAGTAAAAGCGTGAATGAGTTGTTAACTATAAATGTGCAAAAATGGTAATGGTGGGAATTGTAAGGGGTAAAATGTGATCTGATTTTTTTTTTTTTTCCTCTTTGCAGTCTTAGGGAGCTGTTCCTGTATTTGAGGAGATTTCTTTATCATGCAGATCCAGACAAGTCATATTGTAATGATCCACTGATCCACACTTGACTTGTGATCTCAATTTGTTTAACTTCATGGTTAATTGCAGCAATGTGCTAAATTTACTTTGCTGTCCTATACCACTGAAAGCAGTGGAAGGATAATATATAGGAAAAAGTATAGGCCATTTTCCTGGTCATGCATGCTATGCCATTCAGTGAGATCATGGCTGATCATCTGCCTCAAAGCTGCTTTCCTGGGCTATCTCCACATCCCTTCAATTTGCTTGTCTCCACAAACCTAACTGGTGCTTTTTATTTTGAATATATTAGATGATTGAGCTGTCACAGCCTTCTGGGGTAGAATTTAACAGATTCCCCTTCCTCTGAGTGAAATAATTCCTTCTCATCTCAACCTTAAGTAGTCTGCATGATTTTTCCCCCCTGAGATTGTTTCTTGTTTATCAACCAAGGGAAAACCTTTCATCTACATCCCCTATTTCCTACGCTATAGGGATTTTTAAATATCAATTAGATTACTTCTCATTCTCCGAAACTTTCGGGATCAAAAGAACAGGTCCAGTTTCTTCCATTTCTTGTAGGACAAATTTGCCATCCAGGGGATTAGTCTGGTGAGCCTCTGTTGTACTTGTTCTATGTAAATATTTCCTTCCTTGGATAAGACCAAAACTGTATATAATGTTCCGGTGCAGTCTTATCAAGCCTCTCCATATTTGTAACCAGTATGTTTTTACTCTGATTAGTTTCTGATCTAGTCCAGAATACAATTTGTCTACCTTATTGATTTTTGCCCTCGAATGGTAGCTTCCGGTAAGTCATGACCAAGGACACCTAGGTCTTTTTTGGTCATCCACACTTGCTGTCACTATTTAAGAAGTATTGTCTTTTTCCACCAAAGTGGATAACTTCGCAATTATTCACATTATATTCAAAGTTTCATGTTCTTACCCATTCAGTTAACCTGTCTAAACCCACATAAGATCTCCTTAGTGTCTTCTTCACAAATTACATTCCCAACTAGTTTTGTGCTATTAGCAAATTTGGGAATATTTCTATTGATCCACACGTTCAAAAAACATTTATAGATTGACAACAGCTGTTGTGCTAGCACTGATCCTTCTGGAACATTTTTAATAGGGGGATGCAATGGTCTGTGGTGTCACCACTTGACTATTACTCGGAGACCCAGATAATGTTCTGGGGAGCTGGGTTCAAATCCTGCAGGGCAGATAGTGGAATTGTAATTCACTGAAAATCTGGAATTATGAAAAAGTTTTCATGAAACCATTGTCAATTGCTTTTGGGGGGGTGGGGGGGCGGGATGCAGGATGCGGAGGGCCCCCATCTGAGTCACAAGTCCCTTTAGGGACAGAAACTGTCATTCTTACCTGATTTGGCCTACATGCAACTCCAGTCCCACAGCAAAGTGGTTGACTCTTTAATTGTCCTCTGCAGGTAACATCCTCAAAAGTCTCCAACAGGTTTGTCAAATATGATTTCCTTTCAGGATCCATATTGACTGTGCTCTATTTACAATTATTTCCAAGAGTCTAGTTATCACGTCTTTTCATTCTTTATATTTCAATATTTCTCCAAGGTTTATAGTTCTCCATTTTCTCTCCGTTCCTTTTTTTTTTAAAATAGTGGAGTTATCATTTACTGCTTTCAAGAGTGCAGAAACCTTTGCTTAATCTGTGGAATTTTGCAAGATAACTGCTAATGCATCTACTGTCTCTGAACTAGCTCTTCCCATGCCCAAGCTCATCTGGTCCAAAACTTTATTAGCATTCCATCCAGTGAACTTTTCAATTACTGTCTCTTTATGAACAATTTCTTACCGCTTCTCAGTTTCACATATCCTTTGTTTGCTTAGTTTTTCCAGGAGATTTTTTTTGTCTGTTATGCGAACTAATTGTTTAGTTTGCTGATTTCCCTATTCTCCACTGTAAATTGCCCTGCCTTCACTTGTAATAGGTCCATATTTGTCCTAGCTAATCTGTTTCCTTCTCACACCTACAGCAGCATTTACAGTCTGCTTCTATCTTTCTTGCTATCTTCCATTCATACTCTTTCTTCCCATCGTTTATCAGTTTCTTGGTTGTTCTTTTGTGTTCTAAATTGCTTCCAAATCTCAGGCTTGCCATTTTAATTTCTGGCTTCTTTATAAACCACTCCTTTGACCTAATTCAATTATTTTTGCTGGCTGCAATTGATCTACTTTTTTCCTTCTGGGTGTTTGTGCCTTTGAGGAACATTTGCATATTGTACTGTATGTATCAGTATTTTAAATACCAGATATCGTTTGTCTACTGTCAGATCTTTTAATGTATTTTCCCAATCTACCATAGCCAACTCATATCTTGATAATTTCCCTTGTTCAGGTTTAAGCTCCTAGTTTTCAGAATGATCTGTCATATTCAAACTTAATGTAAAGTTCTATCATATTATGGTCACTATTTTCCAAATCTTCTATTGCAAGGTTATTAGTTGGCTCTTTCTCATTACAAAATACCAAATCTAAAATACCCAGGCCTCTAGCTGGTTCTTCAAAGTGCTGCTGCAGGACTCCTACATTTCAGAGATAGTAGGAACTGCCGATGCTGGAGAATCTGAGATAACAAGGTGTAGAGCTGGATGAACATGGCAGGCCAAGCAGCATCAGAGGAGCAGGAAAGCTGACGTTTCGGGTCTGGACCCTTCTTCAGAAAAACATTTGTTCTGTTTAAGTTTACCCTGTCCTTCTGTAAATTTAAATCCCTCTGCTTCATTAGTATACTACATATGTTACAAAACCTTCAGATGTTTTTTTCCTTGATAACTATGCCCAATGTTACCAGTACTGTTTGCCTGTGACCAATTCCGACAATGTTTGCCTCTTGTGATTTCTTCTCTCTAACCGAAATGATTAAATATCTTGATCTTTCAATCCAAGATCCTCCTTCTCATGTACTGGTCTTATCCTTTAAAAATGCTACCTCATCACCTTTGTTTTTTTTTGTTTTTTTTCTTTTGCTTTTCCTTTGCCTATTGTTCCTAAATGGTAATTGTATATGCAAGAATATTAGCAGTCTCGGTCATTCATCAGTCACATCACATCTCTCATGTATTGGCAATTAAATTATATCCATTTACCTCAATCTATGCTTTCATTGTTTTAAATAATTCTACCTTTTTTAACATTATTCTGCACTCTGATCTTATTAGGTGCTTGCCTTTTCTTTGTTTTGTCTTCTAATTTTGCTTCCTACTTTTTTAGTTCCCATTATCAGTTTTGCTTTCCTCCAACCTGAACTACTCTTGTTTTCATTCCCACGTCCATCTGGTTTAAACCCTGCTCAATTTCTGAAGAAGGGTCCAGACCTGAAACGTCAGCTTTCCTGCACCTTTGACTCTGCTTGGCCTGCTGTGTTCATCCAGCTCAATACCTTGTTATCTCAATTGTAGTAGTACAGCTTCCTCAAGATATCAACCCTGGTCTTGCTAAGATGCAACCTATCAGAATTGAGGATTATAAAGTTCACTCATGAGCAAGATCAAACTTATAACTCCAGCACTGTAAATGATCAGCTCGCTCAGTGATGAAATGATAACTGCTTTGCCTTGTGTGCAGACTTTCTGCAGCACTTTGCATTGAATCTTAAAGTACACTGCCCTCTACTGGGAACTGGGATCTGACTCTAGCTACAGGTAAACATACAACTCTCTACTAATTAATACTCTAACCCATTCATAAAACTCCTGTAGTAAATACATGCAGGCTCAGACTGACACAAGGTGGTGTTATGGGGAAGGGAAAATTAGGAAGGCTGTTCAATAGTCCCTGTCTACAGGGTTAACTGAGATGAGACTACTTAGGATTTGTTGCTCTTCGAGCTTCCTTTTATAAGTACTTTCATTTTCTTTTAGAAGCAAGTGATTCACATTTTAAATGTCTCCGACCTACTTGTCAAAAGCCACTGCTTACAGCAACTGATGAGGAGAAATAAATGGCTTTCTTCAGGCATTAAGTAATTTTTTTACTGCAGAGGAAAGAGCAGCATCATTCTTGGTCAATTTGCTTTTGACCAAACATTGGTCACCATTCCATAGACTAATCAGTGATTTGTTGCTAGAAGAATCTCTTGTACAAACTCCCTTGTTAACCTACCCTACTGCTTAAATAAAGAGCACTTCAAACAGTACTTTGCAAATGTGTTAGCTTGGTTTTTGTTTTAAAGAAGTGAAATAATCCTTTCCACATTTTTTTTTAAATGTCATTTTTCTGTTTTGAATCCACAATCAAAAGTACTGAAAACTTAAAGATATGGTCTTTACACTGTCCAATCTAACACAACATTTGATTACACTAGAGGCGGTTACAGTTACAACACTAAAGAGACGTTTGGACGTGGATAGAAAAAGGTTTAGAGGGATAACTCAGGCAAATAGGACTAGTTCAGTTTAGGAAACCTGGTCAGCAAGAATGAGTTGGGCTGAAGGCATGTTTCTGTGTTGTATACCTCTGACTGATATAGTTTTCTGAATTTCAATTGTTTAGAACTCAATTCAGAATTGAATTTCTGAAGAAGGGTCCCAACCCGAAACGTCAACTTTCAACTTTCCTGCTCCTCTGATGCTGCCTGGCCTGCTGTGTTCCTCCAGCCCCACACTGTTATCTCTGACTCCAGTGTCGGCAGTTCTTCGTATCTCTGAATTCTATACAGCTGTTAGAATATAGCTGTACAATGTGGCCAGTGGATGGTGCTATAGAGCAATATTTCAGAAATCTTGCATTATTTGTGTACTTCCAACTGATAAGACGATGTCACAAAAATCTGTTCGTAAAGATGAATATGAATGCTTAATTCAGATACATGCAAGTTCTTATTTTAGAAACATTGCTGTGGAGATTCTTCAATTGCAGAAGAGCTTTAGCTCTCACTGATCTCTGACCATATGAAATAGGAGCAGATTTAGGCCTTTTGTCCCTTTTTGCATCTGCACGACTGTTCAATAAGATCATGGCTGATCTGAGGAAAAAGTTTTTTATCTTAACTGTACTTTTAACCATGCCCCGATTAGCCCTCAACTTATTTGTTAATCAGAAATCTGTTTGGCTCAGTTCTAATTTGTTCAATGGTTCACCCTGCAGTGCTGTCTAACGTATAGAATTCCAAAGTCTAATGACCCTTTGAGAGAAGAAATTCCTCTTCATCACTGCCTTAAATGGGAGACTTCTTTTATTTTGAAACTGTACCTCCCAATTTTGATACCCCGTGAGGGAAGTATTCTCTCTACATTTTACCCTGTAAAGCTCCTCAAATCTTACATGGTTCAATAAAATTACTCAGTGAATTTTAGAAGAATGAGCAAGATTCATGCTCATCCTGCTCAACCTTTTCCTCATAACGCAACCTCCTTCATTCCAGGAATCGCCCTAGTGAAGTGCTTCAAGTGTTAAGTGGTTATGACAGAAGCAATACCATCACATCTTTTGTGGTAGAGAAGAGAGACTAGATTAGATTTTGTTCTGCATGTGTTTGAGAGAGTTTCCAAATTCATTTGAGGGGAAAAAAATGTTTTCCAGGCTGGGATGTCATCAGTTCACACAACCTGTACATGAGCCGAAACCAGTTGAAAGTGGAGCATCTAAATCACTGTTTTTTCCTGATGAAGCAATTAACAAACATCCAAGATTTAGGTGAGTTAACAACTGACCTGATGTTCATGAACAAAATTGTGGTTATTACTGTAAATGTAACTGCATTTTTAGTACAATAAGGTTATGTCAATATATCTGCAAAGATCATATAATACAGTAAATTTTTAATTTGACAGCCTTCCTCCTTGTCTAAGCACTTGTGCAGCACAACACTATATAAATTTCTGAGGTGGACTTCTGCCACCTACAATTGAAAGTGTGTTTACATATTTTCCATTTCAGTCAAGTTTGTTTGGAGTGCAAAAATTTATCGCTAAATAGTTGCCAAATGATAGTTCAGTAGTTGCAATATTGAGGTAGCTCTGTGAAAGCCAAACTATTTAGTCACTAGTGGCTTTTTCCTGTATTGTCCATTCTCAATTTTAAAAATCTGAATTGTTAAGCATGTTATGGTACTGTAACTATCTGGTTTATCTGTTTTCTCTCCTGTTTCAGTAATACTTGTTATATTCTAAACAGGGCTGCAGTCTGCGCACACCATACACACAAGGGCAGCTTTCCTATAATTTTTAGTCATTTTAAAAAAAATTTTCATACACTGTAGGTCGTGTTCACCTTGCATGAAAGCTTTGGGCAGTACCTTTTTCTTTAAAATTTAGTATCACCTGGTATGTGGAGGAAGCATCAATAAATGCTGAATAACATTTTTGGAGCCCCCCTTTTGCCTCTTAATATTTGATGTTTGTTCTTGGGTTGTAATAACCCTGCCCTATGTTACTCTTATGAGGGAAATCAATGGTGTATTTTTGCAGAAAGATATTAGCTTGATGTTGGTTTTAAAGTAAAAGAATCTATTGCATTCAGATTTCAAAGACTGTCTGTCTGACTTTATTTGGGGGAGAAGTAAATTATAGGAGAAAAAGATGTATTGGAAGCTAATTTAAGTCATCAGTTTGCATAAATTGTAGAATCTTACGGGACAGAAGGTCCTGTGTTCATTTATCTATTGAAGTAGTCCCACACTCCCAATCCTATAACACTTCCAAATGTTTGTTTTTTTTTTCCCCAAGGATTTCTCTAAACCTCCTTTTGAAGCTTACTATTGAACTTGCTTCCATTCTGGAAGTGCATTTGGGACATTTTAAAATGTAGTGAGTTTAGATCATCTTCTCTTTGGTTGCAGAGCCATTGGTCATTGGAACATTTAATTCACAAGATGCTGTAAAATGTCACTCAGAACTTTGAACATTCCTACCAAATCATCTGTTAATTATTTCTGCTTTGAAAATTCCAGCTCTCCTGTTTTCTGTACATGATTATTTCAATCCTGGAATCTAAATTTTTCAGCGTCGACTCCATAGTGTTGACATCCTTTCTAAGTTGTGGTGTTCAGAATTAAACACCATATCTGTAGAGACCTACCATGTGATGTGTAAAGCTTTAACGGAATTCTTTTTCTACTCTGCCTGTAGATGGATTAACTCAAGATGGTGGCAGAGTAGCAGTGCAGCATGGGGGGGCTCCTGCTCAGAGCTTATTTGCGCGTCTGCTTTTACTGTCTTTTTTTCCCCTCCTTTCACTACTATTTTTTCTTCTTAGTTTAAGCTACTGACCGTATGTGAGGTGTGAGTTTGTGTAGTGCAGAAGAGGACGTAGCGGGGAGGGTGGCAACAAGAGAGGTTCCGGAAATTGATGGCAGTTATCCTGAGTGGTGGTGAGAGCAGGCCCAAAGCAGCCGGTAGCAACAACAGGCAACCGCTCCTGAGTTGGAGGCAGCCTGAGACAACCTGGGGTGAAGAGAGTGGGAGTAGGCAGCCTGCGGCGAGAGAGGAACACACAGCCCGAAGCTGCTTACTCGTCGCCAGCAGCCACTTTAGAGTTGGAGGCAGCCCAAGGAGTGGCCGGTGGAGAGAGCAAGAACAGGCTGTAAGGCAGTGAGAGCAGACAGCCTGGGAGTGGAGGGCAAGGTTGAGCCCTTGTGAGGAGTGTGAGCCCAGTCTGGGTATACGCTGTAGTGTTCAAGTTTTAAACTGTTTCTTTGTTTTTCTACGTTTCAGTAAGAAGGACTGTAATGTTTAACTTTTTAACTGTTTTCTTTATTTTTCTACTTTATACTCAAAATTCTGTACCTAGGCGCCATTTATGGCGACTTGTAAACTTTTCATTGTACTCGTGAGGATACGTGACAATAAAGCAAATTCTAATTGAAATATACATACTCCCAACAATAGCTGTCCTGAAAAGTTGGAAATATGTCGATTTTTAAATTAAATATTTGGCAGCACATATTATTCTCTTCAATGCATTTCATTAGCCTCTGAATCAATATATTCAAAGTAGAATTAACCACAATTGGAATATCTCTAGAGGGGTACATTTGCCTCCTGCAAAGTTTCTACTTGCATTTCTTCAAGCTGGGTTCACTTTTCTCAAAATGTATGCCTTTTGACTCCCAGCTTACTTCTATTTGAACAGCATTGAAATGAGCTAATTCTTGCACTAAAGTTCTACAAAATTTAAAAATACACAGTTCAGGGGCTTTAGTAATTTGTGTACATATATTTTCATGATCCCATTTCTGTTTGAACTTTTGGGTTTCTTTTCTTCAGTACTTTGACGAGGAATATTCGGCACAGGCGCGGAGAAAAGATAGCCATTAACGTCCCAAGTAAGTAAAAATTACTTGACTTGCTTGAGTTTTTGTTTAAAAAATTCTCTTCCTTCCACTTCTGATTTTCTTTAGGCCTGTTCTAAAATTAATTTGTTATTTGATGTTAGTTCTAATTCAATGGGGCCAACAGCTGTCAAAGAAAAGAATGGTACTTGTTCCCACCATGCACAATATGGCTGCCGGAGCTTGCCCATACATCGTGTGGCCTGTGATGTCTGTCGGCCACGAATGGACCAGTACTGTCAGTTGGCATGAATGGCATCCGGACTCTTGCCTACGTATAATGGGAAACGTGGGTCCATGTCTGCACTTGCATGTGTACTGCTACTGACAAGCAATGAAATGACGGGTGTTTTGGGCTGTGAGCTGACAGCAGGGAGTTCAGGCTGCCACTTGTACAGTGGGGTCTTTAAACTGTGGGTTCACATGCAACAGGCAGTATTTGACCTTTTAAATTAGACCCCAGTGATTCCAGTAGGGGAGTAGCACATTCTTAAAATCCCCTGCAATGTACATTCTGCTATAGCACGCTGCAATGCAAAGGCAGCACATTTTAAAGTATTTTTCCCCACTGAGAGAAAGGTGGTTGCTAAGGAAAGGATACCTTAATGGGATCCCTCAGGAGTGTGTGATATTTTTGTTTCCACCAAGTGAATTTAGGTAAACAGTTTGCCGACATTAAAACTTGCGAGGCCAACCAGGAGTACATTGGAATATTAGAGTCTAGCACTAAAAGATGAGAATTTCAGCAGCAGATGAGGTAAGGCTAAGTTAATCAGTTCTATGCAAAGTATAAGTAGGTGGCCTTATTGATAGTATGAATGTGAGATTGGTTTATCATTGGTCAGGTTTGACACTCCCAGTTGAATTGATAGGGAGTGAGATGGTGTTATTAAATAGGGAACACATTTTGGAGTGTGGACCAAAAATAATGTCTGCAGTCTTTCCAATGTTTGGGAGAAATTTTTGCCCATTGGTGCTGGATGTTGATGAGCAATCTGATTATTACACTCCTCAATTGTCTTTAAGATAATAAGCTCGACATAATAGAATAGATCCTGGCATAAGAGTGGGAAGAGGTGCCATTGCCAGTGATATTTTTCTGGCTGTGATTGGACTGGAATGGAACCAGGTGAGAGCAGCTACAACCTAGCCATATGACAGTGGACAGAAATTAGAGAGGATAAAAGCATACATATGAAGAGCACGAGCACTCCATTGGGCCCTAGTGAGCTTGCTCCACCATTCAGTATCATCACAGCTGATCCTCTGTCTCAATGCTGTATTCCCACTTTGTCTCCATACCTCTTGATACCTTCAATATTGAAAATTTAGCAATCTCTCTTGAATTCTCTCAGTGACATAGCCTCCATAGCTTTCTATAAATGCAAATTGAACAAGTTGACTACACTGAGTACAGAAATGTTTCTTCACCTCAGTCCTAAATGGCCTATCTCATGTCCTGGGGCCATTACCCCAGTTCTAGAAAGATGGGAAAAGGTGGAAGAGTAGCTTTATCAATTAAAGATTACATTGATACAATAGAGAGAGGTTACCTTAGCTCTGGAAATCTGGATGTAGGGTTCAGTGTGTGTAGAGATGAGAAATAGTAGTTAGGAAACCACATGGGAATGGTTTGTAGACTCCCTGTAATCATAGTCTCCCTGTAGGACATGGTATACAAGTAGTAGTAAATGGGGGCTTATGAAAAAGGCACAGCAATGATCAAGGTATACAGATTGGACAAGTCATATTTACAAAAGTAGCTTGGATTAAGTTCATGATGTGTACAAGACAGTTTCTTAGAGCAGCATATTCTAGAGCCAATCAAAGAATAGGCAATAGTGGATTTGGTACTACGCAAGGAAACAGGTTTAATTCACGAATTAATCCTAAAGACGGCTGTGACGATGCCAGCGGAGGGCTGTGAGGACACTGGCAGTTGGGGTGAAGATTTACATCGGCGCAGTCACCACTACCAGAAGGAAGGCATCAGCAAGACATGCTCCGAGTTCAAGTGAAGACAAGTGTCCAGCAAAGGACTATGAAGGTGCTGATTTCCAGTCGGGCTAACGGTTTGCATCGGAGCAGTTGGCACTACCAAACAGTGGTTTGTGGAGGGAGTGTTGTAAAGGGGCAGTTAAACCTGAAGTACTACTTCAGTGTTTCCCTCCCTCCCACCAAAAAAGTTCGCTGAGGACCACAAGCAAGGGAAAGTGATTGGTCTTGTCCCGCTGCAGGTAACTGCAAGGGAGAGAGCTGATTAGTGAGTAGCAGGTAAGGCGGGTAAGTCCTTACAACTCCCATTGCTTTTATAGTACTTTTCTAGGCTTCTAATCTCTTAAGGTAGTACACGGACCAGCAAAGAAGAGCCACGGATAACTGAATTTAATTTAGAGGTAAACCATAGCAGAAGAGCTCAAAGCCTTGGTTTGCTCCTCTTGCTTCACGTGGTAGACGGGAAAGTTCCAGTCCCTTGGGTCAGCATGTGTGCAGGAAGTGTCTCCAACTACAGCTCCTGGAAGCTTTAGTTTCAGAGCTGGAGCATCCGCAAGGCAGAGAATATCATGGATGGCATGTACAGAGAGGTGGTCACGCTGCAAGCTCAGACTGTGCAGGCAGGAAGGGAATGGGTGACCACCAAACAGAGCAAGAGAGATAGGCAAGTAGTGCAGGAATTTCCTGTGGCCATTCTCCTGCAAAACAGATATACCATTTTGGATACTGTTGAGGCGAATGACCTCTTGGGGAAAGCAGCAGTAGCCAAACTCATTGCACCACGGTTGGCTCTGCACAGAGGGGAGGGGTGAAAAGTGTGCCAGGGCAATAGTTATAGGGGACTCAAGGGGAATAGAAGGGCCGCAAATGAGACTCCACGATGGCATGTTGCCTCCCTGGTACTAGGGTCAGGGATATCTTGGAGCAGGTACAGGACGTTCTGGAGGGCGGGAAGGTGAACAGCAGTGGTCGTGGTACACATCGGTACAAATGATAGAAGTAAAAAAATGGATGAGGTCCTAAAAGAAGATCACAGGGAACTCGGAAGAAAGTTAAGAAATCGGACCTCAAAGGTGGTGATCTCAGGATTACCAATGGTGCCACGTGCTAGTCAGAGTAGAAATGGCAGGATATATTGGATGATTACATGGCTAAAATGATGGTGTCGGGGAAGGGTTTCAGATTCCTGGGGCACTGGGACCAGTCTAGGGGAGGTGGGACCTGCCCAAATTGGACGGGTTACACCTGGGAAGGACTGGGACTGATGTCCGAGGGGGAGTGCTCGCTAGAGCGGTTGGGGAGGGTTTAAACTAATATGGCGGGGGATGGGAACCTATGTAAGGAGTCAGAAGGAGGGAGCAAGGACAAAAAGGAATAAGAAAAGTGATAGGCTGAGAAATAAAGGACAAAATTCAAACAGGGCTATTGAGGAAAAATAAGAGTGAGACAAACCATGCTAAAAAACCATGCAGATTAAAATCACCAATGATCACCAATACTCCCTCATCACATGCATCTGTAATTTCCTGTTTAATGCCATTACAAACATCACTGCAGTTTGATGGTTTGCAGGAGACTGACAGATGTTTTTTGCCCCTTGGTAGGTCTCAACTCTACGCATACACAGACTCCACATTGTCAGAGTTAATATTCTCTCACTATTGTGTTAATTTCCTCTTTAACCAGCAAAGCCATGCCACCACCCTTTCCTTTTTGCCTGGCTTAAAGGTTTTGTCTCTTTAATGTGCAATGCATTTGCAATAAAGTGGATGAACTAATCGTGCAGATAGATGTAAATGGGTGCGATTATAATTGCCGTTATGGAGACATGGCTGCAGGGTGACCCAGGATGGGAACTGAATACCCTGGGACATTCTGTATTTAGGAAGGACTGGCAAAAAGGAAAGGGTGGTGGCATGGCTTTGCTGGTTAAAGAGGAAATTAACACAATAGTGAGAGAATATTAACTCTGACAATGTGGAGTCTGTGTATGCGTAGAGTTGAGACCTACCAAGGGGCAAAAAACATCTGTCAGTGTCCTGTAAACCATTAAACTGCAGTGGTGATGTTTGTAATGGCATTAAACAGGAAATTACAGATGCATGTGATGAGGGAGTACTGGTGATCATTGGTGATTTTAATCTGCACATAAATTGGGCAAATCAAATTAGCCACCATGCCATAGAAGAGGAATTCCTGGAGTGTATAACGGGATGGTTTTCTTGACCAATGTGTGGAGGAACCAACTAGAGAGTAGGCCATCTTAGACTGGGTACTGTGTAATGAGAAGGGAATTGTTGCCAATCAAGCTGTGTGAGACCCCTTGGGGCTGAGCGACCATAACATGATACAATTTTTTTATCAAGACGGAGAGTGAGGTAGTTGATTCAGAAACGGGTGCAGAATCTTAAAGGAAACTGTGATTGGGGAAAGTTACTTAAAGGGATGACAATGGATAGGCAATGGCAAACATTCAAGGAATGCATGGGGGAACTGCAACAACTGTTTATTACTGTCTGGCACAAAAGCAAAACGAGTAAGAGGGCCAATCCATGTTTTACAAAGGAAATTAGAGATGGTATCCGATCCAAGGAAGAAGCATCCAGATTAGCCGAGAAAAATATGTCTGAGGATTGGGGGTAGTTTAGAATTCAGCAAAGAAGGATCAAGGGATTAAGAGGAGGAAAATACAGTATGAAAGTAAGCTTGCAGGGAACATAAAGACTGACTCTAAGTTTCTATAGGTACGTGCAGAGAAAGAGATTGAAGACAAATGGTGCCTTCATTTACAGGATCCATATCCCTCCTATTCCCTTTCCATTCATGTATTCATCCAGGTGCTTCTTGAACACGGCTGTTGTGTCTGCTTCCAACACCATCTCTGGCAGCATGTTCCAGGCACTCGCCACCCTTTTCAGTGGAAAAGTTGCCTGGCACATGTCTTTTAAACTCTCCTCCCCATGACGACTACCACCTCACTCCCCCACCCACACCTTGAACCTGCATCCCCTTGTAATTTACCCCTCCACCCTGGGGAAAAGCCTCATACTTTCCACTCCATTCATGCCATTCACAATCCTATAAACTTGTATCGGGTTGCCCCTCAACCTCCTGCATTCCAGTGAAAACAAGTCTGTTCAACCTTTCTTTTTACTTAAAATCCCCCGTACCAGCCAACATCCTGGTAAATCTTTTCTGCACCCTCTCCAAAGCATTGGCTTGAGGCTCAGTTTTTTATTAGGAAGGACTCATTACTGTAATATCAGCGTGCTGCTGGCAATTTATTCATCAGGAGCTCTGTGGACTTGGGTGTCTGAAGTTGGGGCGAAGGGAAGGGAAGGGAAGTGTAGTTGCAATGGAGTATGTGGAAGAACTAGTAGGCAACAGGAAGGTATTTGTGATTGGTAAAGCTTCTTTTTGTATTTTTGAGCTTACCACTGCTCAACCTGTTTGTTGCCATTGGTGAAGCACAGAATATATCTGTTGGAACAGCAAATTTTGCATTGTATTTAGATATTGTGTAGGACACCATGTTGGAAATAGCATTCTGTCTCTGGGGCAAGAATGCTGTTCAACTGACTTTCCATCAGCTCCAACCTTTTGGCTAGACAGTAGTAGAAAATCAGCAAAAATGTTATGCAGTGTTAATATTCACCTTGCAGCTAAATCTTTCCCTTCTGAAATTAGACAAAACTTTACCCAGTTATGCTTGTATGTAATTATTTCTTCAAACGAGTTGTATGTTTGGTCAGAGCACCAATGCCTTTTACTTTATTGAACTCTTCATTAAAAAAGATCTAAAATGCGATATTGTACATGTTCTCATTTTTATTTGGTTCTGAAGTTGAGGGAAGTCTGATGCCGTGAGTTAGGTTCCTGTAATGCCATCTCAATCCTTCTCTCAATTGTGTGATTTCTTTTATATTCCTGCAGCAGAAAACTGATTTTCACAGCAGGGATTCTCATTGCTTATCTGTCGACCAAGCAAACAGCACACTGGGCCAGATTGTGCCCTCAGGAACTAGCCACCTCAACTGTGTTTCCATACTGTTTCTTTGCTTCACTGAATTAGGTGTTACTTAGACATGTCTTAAACAGCAGCTCTCTCTGAATTTTGGTTACTTTGAAATTTATGGACAGGTGCTTGTTAATTTTTGCTCTTGAATAAAAATCCCAGATGACCACACATTTCTTGTGTTTTATTTACTTTAATAAATCCTTTTTTTTCCAGGCTTCTTCATGTGCTTTCATGCTGAAGCATGGCAAAATTACTGGATTTTGCTTGAAAGACTGGAAACTCTGCCATGGTTTCCCCTTGCCACCAAACTGAGTGTGCTGCAGTCTTTTGTGGCTTATTGCTGCCTTGACTGACATTAGCTAACTCCAATTTAATTTGGGATGTCTACTTTTGTATAGCTTTAATGTTAAGTATAACACACTAAACTGGCAAGGATCTTCTGAATTCCAAGATTATGGATTTGAGCTCCATTTCAGATGCAAATCCAGTGGGATACAAATGCTCAATGGGAGTGGAGCTGTAACCTCAGAATTGCACTTGTTAAATTCATGATGGGAATCTAATTGCATATTGCTAACTTGACTAAACTGTCGTGTTTAAAATGGCATAAGGTCGGGAACCTTTTTTGGGGGTTATCAAGAACCAGGAATACTTCTAATAAAGTTAAATCCAGGTTATTTAGCAGTAAAATCAGTCTGTGCTCTTTCTCATACTGTAGAAATCAGGAAACCTTTTTCCTCAAAGATTATGGCTACTGATTTCAGTTAAAACTTTGTGTTAAGATTAATAGAGTTTTGTTGGGGAAGGGTATAAAGGGACAAAGAATAAAAGTCGCTAAGTATAATTGAGATACAGAATGGTAATCACCAAATAAATCCGATTGGGAATTTAGGTGAAACTTCACTTGGAAAAGTAGACATATCATATGGATGCATTTAAAGAAGCTAGATGAATCTGAGAAAGGAATAGAGGGCTATGATGATGGATTAGAGGAAGATTCTGGATTGCTCATGTTACTCAGTGTCGCAACATCCATATTGACAACATTTTTTTTTCATGATTGTGGATAACAAAATGATAATGACCAAACAATTCTTTTTTGTGATGCTGATGGAAGAGTGGGTATTGATTAGGACACCAGGGATCATTCCGGCTTTTGTTTTAAAAATAGTTCAGTGGGATATTTTGATTTAGCGTTGTACCGAGATACAGTGAAAAACATTGTTTCGCGTGCTAACCAGACAAATTAGACCTTGCGTAAGTACATCAGGGTAATAGAACAGAATGCAGAAACTAGTGTTACAGCTACAGAGAAGGTGCAGAGAAGGATCACATCTAATAAGTGAGAGATCCGTGTCTACCTGAAAATGCCAGAGACATTTTTGTTATCCCTTCCAAAAAAGGAGGCTTCTGTGGCGCATTGACTAGTTGGGTTGAAAGATCTGAATAGAGAATGGAACTAAGCTCTTTGACAAGCCATTGCAGACATTGTGCCAAATTGTCTCCTGTGTTGTAAATTCTGATTCTGTTCCGATAAGTCGTTCTGGTTGAAAGCTTGAATCAGAAATGTAGGGATTTTCTGTTGAGCCCAATGCTGCTCTGTCTTGAATGTCACATTTAAAATAGTGTCTGGTAGGGGAGTTAGAGAGAAATGGTTTTTAAGGTTATCTATTTTAATCCATTTTAATCTGTACTTTGACTCTGAAACCATTAGGTATCAGTCATGTGAGAGTCATTCTTCAATGCTACAAAGGACTGTAGAATTGTCATCAAGACCACTCCTAGGATGACAACAGAACATTCTAATCGAGATGGCTCAATACCATACTGGGTCGTTCCTAGGTGCAAATGTTAAAGTGAATGTATTCAGACAAATAATTGTGAATCAGCTTACTCTTAGTACCAAATATTTTGAATGTTAACATTTAAAGGTGGCCCCCATGTTGCCATTTGATGTATTAGTTGGCCTGTTTGTTGTTGGAAATTATTTTTGTCTTCTTCACTAACAATGAAACAATCTGTAAACAGAACACCGTTTGCATGGCGATGTTGGTTGATCATGTCCACAAAAAACTTCTAACAGTTGTTTGAGAAATTAAATGCTGAAATTTGGGAAAGATGCAGTAGGCTATTTGCCTTTTTGTTTAGTTCAATGCAATATTTCTACAAGCTGCTGTCAGATTTATTTTCTTTTCCTTTGCAGTTTATAAGGACAGATGTGTTTCTTCTCCGTTTGTTGAAAAATTTGTCAATGATGATGGCGAAGCAGCAAGAGCAACAAAACCTGATCACATCTATATGGACGCTATGGGGTTTGGTATGGGCAATTGCTGTCTTCAGGTGAGTTTCAGTTGCAAGATGTGTGTTCATTTAACTTCTCATCTTTTTGCTTTCTTATTTGTGCCTCTTTTGCAATAGGTGACATTCCAAGCATGTAGCATCTCGGAAGCCAGGTATCTGTATGATCAGCTCGCCACAATTTGCCCTATTGTGGTAAGTGCATCAGACTCGTGTTTTGTTCTTAATTTAATTCTGAATTTTAATGCTCCTGATACTAACACTTGTATTGATAACTTGCTATATAATATTGTCAATTGGGAGTGTCCCTAAGTTCAGTCATAGAAAACCAACATTAGCAGATACATACGTCTGGAATTGCAAATCTTGATACTTGTTTCCTGAGTTTGAGAATCTCTGAGTAATCTGTATGCAATGTAGTTCAATGTTGCAATTTCCACTTAATTAAATGAGCACCTTTCCAATCAATAGTCTTCATGTCTCTGAACTGTGTGGATCTGGCAGCAGTCAACAGTTTATTTAGAAAGAAAGTTAGCACTTTTTTTATCTGTAAATATTTTGCTTTGCTTTATAATAGAGTGCTTAGAATTACTAACTCGAGTTTACTTAAAAGAAAATTACTGTCAGAATTCGTCAGTTTTAATAGTCTTCCTGTTTTTTTTTGTCCCGTTATCTGACTGATGTTGGCAAGATATTGACATTTTTGTAGGTACCAGCAACGTTAGTACCCTATTCAGCCTTTTCTACTTGCGTGAGCTTTAATACTGTGTTTTAACAAGATGTTCACTGAGACGGGTTCACAAGTCAAACCTGAACTTGTCTGTGGTAATTTTATAGAAAGGGTATATGATGATGAGCTTTGACCACAACTTATTAATAATTTTCCCTGCTTCAAGTTGAAGAATACTGTAACCTTGATTTTAGTGATGCACCAATTGTACTTAATGTTACTGTGTGGGAAGAATATCAAATCCTCAATCATTCTGGTATAGCACATTGAGGACTTGATAGATATTGGCCATACTTCTCGTTTGTCCTCTATCTTTCTGCCAGATTGTTTTTAGTTGCAATAGCTCATACTTAACACTAAGTGGTAGTATAACATCAAGCACGAACATGTATATAAATAGAATCTGAGCTGCCCTTTGCATGTCCTATAATCTTTCTTTGTAAATAACTTCATGGAAGCATAGTTACTGTTGTAAATATTCTGGATGAGTTAATCTGATGAGATTAACTTGCTGTAGTTGAATCATGTTTGTCAGGCTGATAAAACTTTTCAAACATTATTATGCTTAGTGGCTTTTTAATCAATTTAATATACCTTTGTTTTACGGAATGTGAAACCTTTAATTTTATTTTCATTGCTTTGTAATGCATCAGCTCTTATGGAATATCTTAAGTATCTTTTCATATCTTGTTTAAAACAAAACATGGCTTTTGGAGACTATCTACAACCAGAAGTCAGTCTGAAATTGTATGGGAAAATGGAAAAGTGCAATTATTAAGTAATTTTTAATTTTAATGGGGAGAATTAATATTTTTTGATAATTGTCAGGTTGAGTAGCTCCCTTAAACATTCTAGGTATGTCATGGAAGTCTGTACCCTCAATGCGGAGGCATTTCTCTGATCTCAATCTCCATCTCTATCAAGTGAAAGTCTGAGCTAGGCTAAAAACAGTTACTGTTAACTATGCCTGTTCAGTTCAGTTGAATGGCATCACTATTGAAAGCAACAGCCATGTCAAAATCTAGATGGCAGTTCATGCAACCTGTAATGTGTTACTTTTTTTTTTGCAAAAGAGCCTCGGTCTTCTGAGAAATGTTAAATTTATTAGTTCGGTAGATATGCTCAAAACTGCTCTTCATGATTTCTAACTTTTTAATGTTCTTGTCTCATAAAATTACGTTGTGTAGAAGCTAATGAAGTTATTGATTCACATCTAAATACGCATGAACGCTAAACCCTAGAAATCAGGCTCTGTGGCTTAAACAGTTCCATTGATTAACGCAACTTTCTTATCCAAAAGTGGACAATAAGTATTATAAAATTGGGGCCATATACCAGAATCTTCAACACTTCTGCATGTTATTTATTACTCAGCCATGTAGACTGACAATTACAACAGAGTAGCTTAGTGTTAACATTTGACGTGTTGTAATATTAAGATGTTTATTTTAATATAAGTATCCAAGTAAAACTTATCTGTTACCTTCATTGTGTAAAATCAAAAAATGGTAATATTCATAGAATATTCACTGAATTGAATTGCAAATACTCTACATTTACCCCCAACACATTTTAAGTGCAACTTTCCTTTCAGATGGCTTTGAGTGCTGCTTCACCATTTTATAGAGGTTACGTGTCTGACATTGATTGTCGCTGGGGTGTAATTTCAGCCTCTGTAGATGACCGAACCAGGGAAGAAAGAGGTTTGGAGGTAACTAACATGAGAATTTTGAGTTAACGTTTGTCATATTAACCTGCATGGCAGGAATCTTGTGCTTGATAACCTTATGCTGTGCTTATTGCAACTGCAGCCTCGTAAGCACAGCAAGTACAGGATCAGTAAATCCAGGTATGACTCCATTGATAGTTACCTGTCGAAATGTGGTGAAAAATATAATGACCTAGAATTAACAGTCGATGATGAAATCTACAAGCAACTTCGAGAAGGAGGTAATAAAGGATGCATTCAAATAAAATCTGATATTACATTTTGTCAACTTTCTAATTATAAGTTGCCTTGTGTTGATATGATGGTGTAATTGAAGGCAATTAAGGCCTTCATTCATTAAAGTATTGATACATTTAACCAGTACAAATGTGATGCTGCCTTTAGCCCTACAACATTTTTGTAGTATTGTTCCAAGATTTAAATTTACAACCATGCAAGACATTTGCACTAAGTTCTTTCAAGAAGAAATCATGAAGTAGTGTGTTGATCTAAAACCCCTTGTCATAGAATCATAGATTCCCTACAGTGTGGAAGCAGGCCATTCAGCCCATCAAGTCCACGCTGACCCTCAAGAGCTTCCCAGTCAGACCCACCCCCCACCTATCCCTGTAACCCTGTATTTCCCATGGACCGTCCACCTAACCTGCACATCTTTGGACCGTGGGAGGAATCCAGAGCAGCCAGAGGAAACCCATGCTGATACAAGTAGAATGTGCAAACTCCACGCAGTTGCCTGAGGCTGGATTCAAACCCAGGTCCCTGGCACTTTAAGGCAGCAGTACAAACTACTGAGCTATCGTGCCAGTATTGATTTGATTGTCAGTATTTGATTTTTAAAAACAGGTAACAATGTTAGTTCGACTCTTACACTATCTGAATATTGTTCATTAAGTCCTCTTCATAATGTATGGTAGTTACACCTCAAACTGGGTACTATGAGCTGTTTAACAAATGTCTGTAGACTAGTCACCACATAACAGTTTGCAATTTTTAATTAATATTCTTTTAAAAACACTTGTCATCTTCATGTATATCTTGTGTCCAAAGCAGTAACCATTACACCATCAATTTAATGAACTCATTTATAAGGGATTTTGCTTCATGCAATCTAGCCATTAGTTTCTGTCAAATTGCTTTTTTAACAAAACAAATTTCATTTGGAGTATGAGCTTGTGCACACCTAATTTCCCAGGATGCTTTTGTACAATAGTACTATTAAGGTAGTTATAATGATTGAATTCTTGGCTTTGGATAGTTTCTACTTGAAAGATTTTCAAAAATAATTGCAGTAAAAAACATTGCAGAATATTTTTGTGGTTTTAAAATAGTTTTTTGAACAGTGGGTGGGGCTATTTATCTGTCTGGTGAGTAGTGAGGGAGCCTGATATCTGATGTAATTTTTATTCTGCAAATTTGTGCATCTATCCACATCTGTTGTTCGCTTCGCTCTGCTCCCCTCTGCAACCCACCCCCGAAGCATGCCCCCTTGAGCTCACTTCCCTTTGTGCACCTGCTCACTCTTGCTCCCCCTCCCTTGCAGTTTCTACTATAAATGTGAATAATTGATTGAAACATAAAGAAAGAATGGCATCTGAATTTCATCTGTATGCTGTAGTTCAATTTGACCCCACTCCTCCTTTTACTTTACCACTGAAATATTGTGTTTGACTACTTGTCATGTACTTGTACTTGTACTGAAAATTAAATAATTCATTTTTAAAATGGGTTACACCATTCCAATTTGCAAAACCTTATACCGTAAGTAACTGTTCATTCCATTGTTTCATTTCGTCTTTACCTATTTCTCAAATGTTTTAAGTATGGGCCATAAGGTATGGGAGCAGAATTAGGCCATTCTGCTCACAAAGTCGGCTCCACCGTTCGATCATAGCTGATATGTTTCTCAATCCTACTCTCATATATTCTCCCTGAAACCCTTCATTCCCTTTCTAATCACGTGCCTACCTATCTCTGTCTTAAACACACTCACTGACTTGGCCTCCACAGACTTTTTCGGCAACGAGTTCTACGGATTCACCACCTATCGCTAAAGAAATTCCTCCCCATGTCAGTTCTAAAGATTCTTCCCTTCACCTTAAGGCTGTGCCCTTTTGGATACTAATTTCTTCTAATAGTGTAGATGATATCTTCTCCAAATCCACTCTATCCAGGCCTCTGACTTTTCTGAATTTCAATCAATTCTATTACTCATCCTTCTCAATTCCAGAGTCCTCAACTGTTTCTCATTATGCAACCCCTTCATCCCTAGGATCATTTTTGTAAACCTTGTCAGGAACTCCTCCATTGCCAGCACATCCTTAGATATGGGACCCAGAAGTGCTCATGATATTCCAAATGCAGTCTGTGTGGCCTCAATTTCTGCTGTTGTATTCTGGCACTCTTGAAATGAATATTAACATTGCATTTGCCTTCCTAACTGCCAACTGCACCTGCATGTTAACTTTGAATCCTGAACAAGGACTCTTAAGTCCCTACGTGCTTCAGATTTTCAAAGTCTTTCCCTGTTTTAGAAAATAGTCTATGCCTCTAATCTTTCTACAGGATGTACAACCTCTCGAGTTCCTACATTGTATCCCATCTATCCCTTCTTTGCCCACTCTCCTATCCTGTCCAAATCTTCCGTAGCCTTCCCGCTTCTTGTACACATCTCTGGTCAGCTCCTCCCTCATGTCTTTATAGTTACCTTTTTAAGATTTTTGAATTTTTAGGTTTAGGTTTTATTGTCAAGTTTACTCAAGTATGGGATAGAGTTAAGTGAAAAATGTACAAAGTGCCTAATTACAAAAATAAAGAAATAACTTTTAAAAAGTTCAGCACTACAGTCATCTTAACATAAGAATAGCAAAATAAATAAATTTAGTGTTAAACGGTATAATCCTTTCTTGAGCCATGGGCCTGCGGATGCTCCAAATTATTGAATTGAAATATGTTACATCTGATTCCAGCTTCTCCCCCCTCAAACCGCAGAGTGAATTCTAACATTTAGTGATTGCCCGCTCGGGGTTCTTGCACCCTAAGCTCCCTAATAGAGTCTGTCTCTTTACACATCGCCACAACCAGAATTGCCTATTCCCTGGTGGGCTCTACCATAAACTGTTCCAAAAAAATTATCTCGTAGACATTGTACAAATGCCTTTTCTTGGAATCTGCTGCCAACCAATTTTCCTAGTCCACCTTCTAATTGAAGTCTGTCATGATTATTGTAATTGTGCCTTTCTTACATGCCTTTTCTATCACCTGACTTACTTTCTCCTGACTACTGCTAAGAGACTTGTACATAATTCCTATCAGGGTCTTTTTTTCCTTTGCTGTCCCTCAACTCTACCTACAGAGATTCTACACTTTCTGACTCTATCACTTCTTTTGATATAATTTTATTTCTTACTAACAAAGCAACCCCATTTTCTCTGCCAATCTGCCTGTCCTTTGGATAGGACACATATGCTTGGATATTTAGTTTCCAGCCCCGATGTCCTTGCAGCCTCATCTCTGTAATGCCCACAACGTTTGTGTTGACCAATTTCAATTTGTTTTGTAAACTGCATGCATTTAAGTACAACACCCTTAGTTCTGCATTGACTGGCCCCGTTCTCCATAGTTGACCCCTTATCTGCAGTGCCTGAGCCTTTCCATATTATGTCCTGTCATTTGTTTTGGAAACTTTAATAACATCTGCTGAGCCCACTTCTATCCACGCTATCCCTGGTTTAACCGTGTCCATAATTTTCCAACTGAGCCCAAACCATGTCCCCCTCCACCAATTTAGTTAAAGCCCTATCCACATCCCTAATTATGCAGTTTTGGTCACAGCATGATTCACGTGGAGTCCATTCCAGTAAAACAGCTCCCTCCTTCCTCAGTACTGCAACATCCTTAATCCTCTGAGCTCTGCATTGCTTCAATTCTGCTTCATCAGGGAAACTTTCACTTAATCATTTGCTGCCATGCCTCAGATGTTTTGATCTTGAGCTCTGCAAATCTATTTAAACTCCTCACCTTTGTAAGGATAATCCTTTACATTCTCCCTTTTGACCAAGCTCTTTATCATCTACCCTAATGTCTGTTTGTCCACTTTGGTCAAGTTTTGCCTGCTTATCCTCCTGGAGTACCTTGGGGCATTTTACTGCATCAAAGGCATTGCAAAATGGAAGTTTTAATTCTACACTTAATAATAGTAGCAGTGCAGCATCTCCATTTTGTATCTTCTAACTACACCATCTATCTTACAAAGCAACTCAAGTGCACCAGTTAACTCTGCTTCCCTGTTTTCCAAATGATACTTATTTTATTTACAGTTAAGTTGCAAAAGTTCAAATTGAATGCACGTAATATAACTTGTCTTTGCCCAATTAGACCCACTCAACTTAATTTTTAGTGGATTGCCGAATATCCCTATGAAACACAAAAATCTGTAATGATGATTTATTTAATCTTAATGCTTGATCTTTTGTACTGAAGAAAAATTTTTGAGGCTTGAAATATGTTTTTCAGGTATTGATCATCTCCTAGCACAACATATAGCTCATCTTTTTATTCGTGATCCTTTGACACTGTATGCCGAAAAGATAAACATGGATGACGCGAATGAATCTGACCACTTTGAGGTAACCTACAATATTAACAGTAGCAATGTGTTAGGTGATGAGGCATCTTCAAATTGCTAAGATTAAACTTCCTAGGCTGTTCTGTGATTGACCAGAAGCTCTTGCTCTCGCTCTCTGCCCTTTACTTGTCCTAGTTTTTACATTGATTTACTTAGTTTTAAATCTGCTCTGAAAAACTTTCTCAAGAGTGTAACTTTTAGCAAATCCATTGAAATGTCAAAGCATTGCATCCTGACAGCACTATTCACCAGCCAACCCCAGCATGGCAGTGTTCACAGTGAGGATATTTAGCATTTTCGTGCAGTGAGGAAGCAGGAAGAGCACTGTTGGGGGTGGAAAAGGTGGTGACCGCTAAACCAAGAAATGCTGGCCACGGGATAGGTAATCCTTTCAGTTTTCATCATTTTTGCAAAAAAATTTAGTGCTGTGACGCAGCTAAAAAAGTATTTTTTACCACGTTTAAAATAGAATGTTACCTTAACTGTTAACATTTCAGAGCAGCCCAAGTAAAAGCTTATTTCTATGGCATTGATTTTGTGCATTAGCCAGAAAGAAGTCAACTGGAATTTGATTGTCGGTCATTTTGAACATATAAACAGTGAACAGTCATTTTGTTGAATAAAATTTTGAAAGTGTAATGGGAATTGAATGGTTTATGAAAACTAACTTTAAAAATTAATTGTGCAATTGACTACCTATAGAACATACAATCCACAAATTGGCAAACCATGCGATTCAAGCCTCCACCCCCAAATTCTGAAATTGGTTGGAGAGTGGAATTTCGACCGATGGAGGTAAGTACTGTAATTGTATTAAAACAATTGTATTAAATTTTAATACAAGTCAAGTTTGTTTGCTTGTGTTATTCATTTTCTTTAAAATATCTGGTTCTCTAATGCTCTTTAGGTAAGGAAAATCTCTGTCCTTGCATGTTCTGGCTTAAATGTACTCCAGGCACAGCAGCATGGTTAACTTTGTCAGCTTTGACTTTGACTTTGCCTGGCATGTCATTGAGTTCAGAGATAGTAGGAACTGCAGATGCTGGAGAATCCGAGACAACAAGGTGCAGGGCTGGATGAACACAGCAGGCCAAGCAGCATCATAGGAGCAGAGAGGCTCCTTAGAAGAGGCTTCGCAGTGGGGTTAAAATCGAATCAGAGATAGTAGGAACTGCAGATGCTGGAGAATCCCCTCTCTGCTCCTATGATGCTGCTTGGCCTGCTGTGTTCATCCAGCC